ACACGCACACACACGCACACGCACACACACACTCTCTCTCTCTCTTTCTCTCTCTCTCTCTCACACACACACACACACACACACACACTAAAGCACCAACGGGGACCGCACATGCACTCTCTTCGAGTTATATATAGCGAACATGACAAAACATGCATATAGCATAATCACTACCTTACCCTTCCCGAACCACATAAACAAACGAACTACGGGCTGCGCACCCGTGCCCTCACGGTAAGTCAATTTGGAGATGTCCATCCCTTTAGAGGCCAGCCATGTTGCAGAAGGAATAACTGACATCAATTGCAGCCACATCAGGCTGGCTTGTTTTTGCGAGACCATCCGTCTCAGAGCTTCCCAGTGACTGAACAGGTCCAGGTTACCCAAGGAGAAGCCTGGCTCTTTGGCAAGTCTCTCTGCTGCAGTCGCTATCGGTTGGGCGCCTATTTTAGTTGAATACAGGGATACCGGAACTGGGGCTTTGACTCCGCCCTAATTTTCACCGTGTTGGAGCGAAGGACGGACCCCAAGTTGTTGGCTTGAAAATCAGGTACGGGGGATGGCATTTTTATTGCGTGGGTTTCGGCGTGTGTTCGTGACGGGGGTTGCATTCCATTCTAAATGGGGAGGTTGAGGGGCAAGCGTGTCCCCGCTCGGCGCATGCGCACGCTCTCGGCGCGACGTGTCCTGAATGAAATGAACGTACGTACGAATTTTAGTCACGTACTCTGGGCGCCCCGCCGAACGAGATGGGGGCAAGAAGTACTGAAGACCGACGTGTTCCGCTGCGCGGAATTCCAGCGCATCTCCGTGGGAACGCAATCTGTCTGGTCGATCGTGGTCGATCGTCCGACTTCCCGGCTGTCGTATCTCTGATTGCGGGCGATCGGACTTGACTGCCGCAGAGCTGACGTGGAGTGATGACAAAAAATAGAGCGTTTTTATCGGAGGGGCGGCGTGTTGCCCACCCTGTTTCCGAGCCTGTGGCGCGGTGAAGTCTTCGGAAATGTTTCCCGAGAAAGAGGGGGGGGGGGGGGGGTACCAGTTTGAAAGCTGACTCAGTTTTGGCGGGTGTGAGCGCAACACTTGCTGGCATACCCTTAGGGTCAGATCCCACTACCCTGGATTATTCATCTTCGACCCTCGATTACGAAGATCAACGGTCAGAAATGAACAATAGGGGCTAGTGGGATCTGGCCCTTACTCCCGCCTGGGCTTGACGTGGCACGATATTCGCGATCGAGATCCGACGTGTCCTACGCATATGAGGTTACTGTCACGTGGCGCGTCTTTCCGAGGACGCGGATGTGGTGCTGGCAATTATGGCGGGAACTCAACGTCTGAAAAGGCGAGGTGATCTAGGGTTGAGGGGGGAGCACAAGGAGTCACGATGACCGAGAGTAGGCGGCAGCAACATCCGAGGAGCGAGCATGAGGAAGAGCTGCCTCTGCCAATTCTGGCGGGAAGTAGGGTTGTTCAAGTGGGTTGGCGCGGCGCTGGGCGTCATGAGGAAGGCGGGAGGGCAAAGAGAGGGAGCAGCGACGAGGTGCCCATCTTCAATCTTCCCGCCATTCAAACGCCGTGTTCACATGTAGAAGAGAAAGGAAGTGAGAGAAGGGGAGGAAAGGGAGCGGAGGAGGAGGAGGAAGAGAAGGAAGAGAAGGAAGAGAGAGGGACAGAAGGGGAACTGTGGAGATAGGGGGTGGGAGGAGAGCGAGGAGGAGGAGGATGCGATGGGGAATCAGCTAGCGAGAACCACGCAAGTGTCGCCGTCTGATTACTATCTTCACGATCTGCCGAGGAATGTGGTTTTTAAAGATATCCTGGGAGGGGGGAGGTTCTTGAAGACGGTGCAGTGCGTCCACGACGAAGGTTTAGTCGTGATCAAAGTCTATTTCAAGCGCGGTGATTCACCAGACCTTCGGACATACGAACGTCAACTGGTAGCAATCAGAGAGCAGCTGTCGAACATCCCTCAGTCGCATGTTTGGCCATTCCAGCGGTTCTTAGAGACGGACAAAGCTGCATACCTGCTGCGGCAGTACTCGTTCAGCAATCTGCATGACCGGATCTCCACGCGTCCGTTTCTGAGCGCAGACGAGAAGCGATGGCTGGCTTTTCAACTGCTGCACGCGCTGGATCAAAGCCATCAACGCAACGTGTGCCATGGGGATATTAAGTGCGAGAATGCTCTCGTGACATCGTGGAATTGGGTATATTTGGCGGATTACGCGTCGTTCAAGCCATCGTATTTGCCAGCGGACAATCCGGCGGACTTCTCCTTCTTCTTCGACGCAGGTGGGAGGAGGCGGTGTTATCTGGCTCCAGAGAGGTTCTTCGAGTCTTCGTCATCGTCCTCAAGCAGTGTTGGTACCTCCGCGGCTTCTGCGGCGGCGGTCGCGGGGATAGGCGCAGGAGGAGGAGGAGGAGGTGGCGGAGCACTGCCATCGAGCGCTTCTCTAGGCGGCGGCGGGAACAATGTCCAGCCCGGGTCGAGCGCCGGGGGGGGTGCGGCGGCGGAAGCCCCCCTCAGGCCGGAAATGGACATCTTCTCGCTGGGGTGTGTCATCGCAGAGCTGTTTCTTGAAGGGCAGGCGCTCTTCACTCTGTCTCAGCTCCTCGCTTATCGGAATGGACAGTATGACCCTCTTCCGTCGTTGGAGAAGATTGACGACGAAGGGATTCGATCCCTGGTGCGCCATATGATTCAGCTTGATCCGCAGAAGCGGCTCCCCGCGCGGGATTACCTTATTTCGTGGGCGGGAAGTCTGTTTCCGCAGTACTTTTCGCCTTTCTTGCACACGTTCTTCTCGCGCCTCGTTCCGCTTGATACAGACACGCGCGTGGCTGCGATCGAGGACATATTCCCGGAGCTCAAGCGGCGGCTTATAGCGGAGGCAAGTGGCGGAGGCGCGACTGCGCTTTCTTCTTCAGCGTTGGGAAGGCGAGGTTGGGTAGGGAGGGTAGTAGGAAGTCAGCAAGGGAGAAGAGGTGGAGGCGCGGACGGGGGTGGGGGAAGAGGCGGCGGGTCGTTGGCAGCGGTGGAACGGACGGATGATGGGGAGGAAGAGGAACTACTAAGAGAGGGACAGGAGCGGAGGACGTCCGCTCCGGGCGCCGCCCCACATTCCTCCGTAGGGGGAGCCGCGGAGGAGTGCCACTCTTCCTCGCGCTCTCGGTCGTTGCCGTCGGCTCACGGCGGAAGGGCGGATGATCTTGATCGGGGAGGATCACTAATCAAGGATTTATCTGGTTTGCTGGCGGAAGTAGAGATGATAAAGGGGGACAAGGTAGCACGTAGGGTTTCATCCCACGAGGCCGGGGTTTCCTCTTTGTCCTCGGCAGCGGCAGAAGTGCGCGCGCTTGTCACACGCAGCGCTGACAAGGAGGAGATCGCTGACGGTCTGGACGGGACGCCTGGAGGCCACAGGGCGGGGAGAGGAAGAAGAGAGGGCGATGTGGTGGCAGGCGGAGTGATGGCTGTCAGGAATAAACCGCCTTTGGAGAGGGCCTCCTCTGTTGATAGGCAAAGTAGGGCGGGTGGCGGCGAACTCCTTGTAGGGGGAGGAGGGTTAAGGGAAGCGCGAGGGGTGTCTTCTCGAGCTCCCCCGCTATGGGGAGGGCGACGCCTGTCTCTGGACCGGGGGGGTGGTGCTTGGGAAGGAGGAAACCGTGCGCGGTCGTTGCCCTCGTCCGGATCCCCTGACAGTGATTACCGATCGGTAGGCGACAACATAGAGGGCGATGGCGATTTTATCGTCGATACTGTGACGGGGGATGACAGTGGTGGTCAGCGAGACAGAGCGAGAGGTGGAGGAGGGGAGGAAGGAGGACGTTGTGGAGACGGCGTAGCGCAAAGATGGAAGGCGTCCGCATTGGATATCCTGGATGAAGCGATGGCCGTGGACGAAGTCGTAACAGAGGAGGTATACGAGAACCAGGTGAGAGAGGTGGGGGGGAGTTTCAGCGGGCAACCCTTTTTCGGCGGTGATGTAGACGTTGCCTGGATGTCACCATGGCCAGGAAGGCGGAAGGAAGATGTGATACTGCCATCGGAGGGGGGATGGAGATGGGAGGGAGATTGGGAGATAGATCCGTACAATGGGTCCGCGCCAGGTGTGATGCCGACGGACGAGGAGGGTTGGAGCTATAGGGGAGGGGGAACCAGCACGGGATTCATCGTGGAAGATCGTGATCACGAAGAAGAGGGGGGCGGAGGGGAAGGGGATGGGGGGAGAGGGGGTGGTGTTTCCCCCTCTTCCCCGCGTGCTGTGCCGGCCCCCATCAGGGCTTCGTCGGCTTCCAATCGTGATGGGAGCGATGGCAGCAGCAACTCCATTAGCAGGATGACCAAGGAGAGAGGTGAAGAAGATGAAGACGAGGGAGTTGGCAGCAGCAGCAGGGTGTCATCAGCCCTGTCGGATGAAAGTCGGCTTGGGCAACTGCAGGGAAGAGCGCGAAGGCGAGCTTCCCCTTTTTTTTCCTCCTCGCCAGCTAGCGTAAGGGGATGGAGCGCCACTTGCACTCCGGACTGCTTGTGGAGACGTAGACGGTGGATTAGGAGGAGAAGGAGGAGACCTGCGTACACTGCCGCCGCGGCAGTGGTGTCATCCTCCTCTGTCAAGCCCTTGTCGGCATTATCGACGTCATATCAGTTGAGGGCGGGAGGAGGAATGACAGGGGGAGGAGGACAGGATGGCGATTGTCTCTCTTCTTCGTCCTGTCTTTCGTTGAGGTCGAAGGACACTCCGCTGTCTACGTGCGGAGCCGCGGAATCTGCTGCGCCAGCGGTTCAGTGCGGAGGAATGGTCCTGGTAGTTGCGCTGCTGTGCGCTTGTGTTCGGCACGTGAAGCTGGCGCAATCGCGCCGTGCGGCGCTGGCTCTGCTCCGTGAGATGGCCGTCCATTGCGATGATGACGTTAGATTGCAGAGGATTGTCCCCTACGTCGTGGCCATGCTCCCTGATCCTGCTGCCGTGGTGCGCGCCACTGCGGCGGCCACGCTGGCGGATGTCTTGTCGATGGTACAGTCGTTTCCCGCTAGCGACGCCAAGGCCTTTCCTGAATACGTGTTTCCATCTTTGTCCATGCTACCAAGGGACGATGAGGAGAGCGTGCGCATCGCGTATGCGGACAACCTACACAAACTGGCGGAAGCCGCGACGCGTTTTCTGAACAGAACCCAGTTTCTCAACGAGGCCGCTCTGCAGGATGTATCGAATCGGATCGCGGCCACGGTGGTCGTGCAAGGAGACGTGGGAGGTAGTGAAGGGAAGGAGAAGAACGGAAAAGGCAGCGCCGGCGGTGTGAGTGGCAGAAGTGGGGGGGAAGGGGTTCCGTGGGGAGCGGGGGGGGGAAAGAAGCCACTGCGCCCGCCACCACCGACTGCTTCTTCTGCGCCTCCTCCCGCCGTTCCCCTCACTATCATGGCGTCGCCATCGGCTCAAAATTTGCCATCCACGTCATCCGGCCTGTCGCGTAAGGGATCGTCGGGATCGTCGGGATCCGGAGGAGGAGGAGGAGGCGGTGCTTCTCCCTTGCAGCGCCATGTAATCAGCTTCGATGCTGAGATGGCCGCTCTCCGGGAAACGGTGGCGCGCGTTGTCCAGGAGCTTGTGATGACCGGACCGCGCAGCTCCTCTGCCATCCGCCGCGCTGCCGTCCGCCATGTCGAACCGCTTTGCAAGTTCTTCGGCAAGAAGGACAGCAACGACTTCCTCATCCCCCTGTTGATCACTTTTCTGAATGATAGAGACGATCGACTGCGCGCCGAGTTCTTTGATCATATAGCGCACGTGTGCGGTGTTCTTGGGCGGGCGAGTGTGGAGGCGTTTCAACTGCCTTGCATAGTGCAGGCACTCAACGACAGCGATGAGGCGGTCGTTGCGAATGCGCTGGGCTGTCTGACGAGTCTGGCGACGCAGCGCTTGCTGCGAAAACGTGTGTTAGTGGACGCGGCGCAGCGGGGCGCGGCACTGCTAAGGCATCCGTGCGCATGGGTAAGGCGCGCAGCGGTGGCTATGATGGCGGCAACGGCGTCGGTGATGCTGTCGGCCGATGCGCATGCCTACCTCCTGCCGATTTTGCGACCGATCTTGCGGAGAGAACCCGCGACGCTGACGTCGGAGGCCGTCCTTCTGCGCTGCTTGAAGCCCCCGGTGGCAGCGGAGGAGGCGAGGGCCGCGCACGTGGCGGCTGGCGAGGAGGGGAAATCCCCGGCGGCGTCAAAGATGGCGGCGCAGGTGATGCAAGCAGCAGCAGTAGGAGCGGAAAAGGCCGCGGGAGCCGAGGCGCGCTTGTCTGGTAGCGGCGGGAGCTTCGGTCCGAACTCGCGCGCGCTGGCGAAGACGACGGGATTGGGATCGACGGTTGTCAATGGAGCTGCTGCTGTCTGTTTTTCGTCCTCCCCAGCGTTGTCGGAAAGCCCACCGCCACCGGCTCCTGGCCATCATCATCATCAGGTCATCCCGGTCTATTCTATTCTAATGCCGGACAGACGATCGGTGATGAACGGTGGGGAATCTTCTCACAGGGGGGATGGGGAGGGCAATGGCGGGGGATGGATGTGGGGGGGAGGAGGCGCCGTGGCGGGCAGTAGTATTACTGTGTCCGCTGGCCGAGCAGCGGGTGCAGCGGATCGAAATCTCCTTCGACCTCGACATCCTCATCCTCATCATCCTGTTGTTAACGAGGATTGGCGGTTGATATTCGGGTACCGAGTCGGGGCCGTCCCAGCGGGCGCGAACAGGTCGGGACCGCACGCCGGCGGTCCATCAATGATCGGCAGCGGGGAAGCTGGGGGTGGCGCGGGAGCGGTATTGAGGGTGGCCAGCTATGCTCCCGCTGCTGAATTTGCATCGTCATCTTCATCGTCGTCCTCAGGGATGAGGATGGCGGGCGTTCAACCTGGGTTCGCTGCTGCAGGGGGAGAGGGAGAACGGCGATCGACGGGAGAGAGAGCAGGTGTGGCGATGGGGGGAAGAAACCGTCTCGGCGGTGGAGCGGGAGCATCGCTTCCCCCCCCCCAGGCAATGAATTTGTCAGGCACTCTCTCGAGCAGAGGAGGAGGAGGAGGAGGAGGAGGAGGAGGAGGAGGAGGTTCTGCTCTTCCAACGTCAGCAGCATCCACTTCCGTGTCAGCGGGTAGGAGCGATAGAGGAGTCGGGGGGGTGGCGGCAGCGGGGGCAATGTCGCCTGAGAGGCAGCAACAAGCACAACAGTGGAGGCCTCGCGCCGAGTCCGCTGGTGCAGTGAAGATGGGCAGCAGCAGTAGTAAGCAGCAGCAGCTGCAGCAGCAGTGGTTTGCAGAGGGCGAGAGGAGAGGAGGGGGTGGCGGAGGGAATGGGACCAGCTTGACTGGGGGGTTGTCTTCATCGCCATCGTTGTCTGGGGCGGGGATGGAGGTTCCTATTGGTAGTGGGGACCCCATTTTGGATCTGATGGGCGTGGCCAGCGCTCTCGGGCGCGGAGGTAGCTCGACCCGGGATGGCGCCTGGCGTCCACGTGGCGTCCTAATCGCGCACATGCAGGAGCACACCCGTGCAGTCAATCGTCTTATCGTATCGGACGATGAGAGCTTCGTCGCAAGCGGATCTGACGATGGAACGGTGAAGATTTGGGATTGCAAGCGTCTGGAGACGAACACCTCCTTCTCCAGCAGGCTAACATACGCAGCGCAAGGGGGAAAGATCATGGGGTTGGCAATCGTTGGGAGCAATCACACGGTGGCCTCCGCGTCGAGTAACGGATCTATCCACGTGTTCCGTCTCGATCATTCGCCCCCCTCAGGAGGAGGAGGATCGGCGGGCGGGAAAGCCGGGAAGACTCACGCCGCGGGCAGTGGGGTTGGGGGAGGGGGCGGCGGTAGCGGCGAGAGCGCGGGGATGGGCGGTGGCGGGGCTTTTTATGCGGGCTTTGTGGACGTGAGACTTATAGAACCCGAGGAGGGAGCCGTGCTCACGTTAGACAGTCTGGTTTCTGGCCCAGGATCGCCGCTGATCTTGTACACAACGCAAAGGGGGGGAACTCATCTGTGGGATCTGAGGGTCAGGAGGGACGCTTGGGTGCTGCGCGCCGAGCCGAGGCGGGGCCTGGTCACGGCCACGGCCCTGGACCCTCTTACCAACTGGTTCGTGACGGGGACGTCGGCGGGCTTCCTCACACTCTGGGACTTCAGATTCCAGATCCCCGTGCACACGTGGCGACATCCGGGGGCCTGCCACGTCAGCGTGATGGCTCCTGCGCTCCCAGGAGTGGCGGGAAACGGTGTCGCTGGCGCGCAGCAGCCGCACCAGCTCTACTTGACACCAGCGGCTCGTCCGCTGGTCTACGTGGCCGCCGGCAAAGATGAGGTCGCCCTGTGGAACGCCGAGGATGGACGATGCCATGTCATCTTTCGCGTGATTGCTGCCGACGGTTCCGATAGCTCTGGGTCCGAAAGGACCTTTTCCTCGTCTTCAGACCCAGCCTGGCTGCCCGCAGCTCTGCGGCGCATGCCGACAGCAGTCGGGAACGTCAGCTCGGGGCCACGTGGCGCTGTTTCCTCCCCTCCTTCTTCGTCGTTGGCTTCCTGTATGTCAGGGAAACAGTCGGTGCTGCAGGCGACATCGACTGCCCCAAAGGGACGAGTAGGGGTTGGAGGTGATGGTGGGACTGCCGGGCACGAGAGAAGGTCAAGTGCCGGGGCCAGGTTTCCATCTTCATCACAGTCAACCTTTGCTTCCTCCTCATCGTCGGCATCAACGTTCTTAGCTGACCCTGCGAACATGGAGAGCGTAGGGACAGCGGGAACAAGCGAGTATGGAGCGTTGCCGTCGAAAGTGGATGGAGGAGTCGGCATGGCGATGGCGTGCGAAGAGAATGCTACGTCGTGGGAAGCGTGTCTGGAGGAGCTGAACAACCCCCTCGCTCGTCCTCCGGGCTTCCGGTGCTTGCTACCCATCCACTGGGGTGTGGGCCTCCTCACGGGTGGCACCGACTGTCGTATCAGGCTATGGGATCGAACTAGAATCGACCGGAATTACTATGTCTGTGCGCCGACGGTAAGGGGCATGAAGATGCCGCGATACGAATCAAGACCCATGTATGGTGCACGGGTTGTGCAGGAACTTATTCCAGCAGCTAATGGAGGAGGAGCAGGAGGTGGGGTTGGTGGTTCGGGTAGTCGTTCCGTCGGAGCGGCGGCGGGTGCAGCTGGCAGCGCCCCCAGTGTTAATCAGCTCATGGCCACCGCGGCCGTTGATATGGCAGGTTGCCACAGGGATTGCATCACGTCGCTAGCGTCCGCTCGGCTGACTACACGTGTCCTTATCTCAAGCAGTCGGGACGGGGCCATCAAGGTCTGGAAGTGACTGTTCGTATTGAATTCGCAATTGCTCTCGCTACTGCATTCTGGTCGTGCGCACAATGGACCGAGCGGTGCAGCAGCATAATCGCCTCCACGCGGGAAGCAACAGAGATTCACGCACAAGAGAGAGAGAGAGAGAGAGAGAGAGAGAGAGAGAGAGAGAGAGAGAGAGAGAGAGAGAGAAATGCGGAGCTGTAGGCTGCACGAGTACTGGCAGGTGTCGCAGAAAAGGTTATGTGGAGAAGTAGGCCACTGACAAGTTTGGGTGGGCAACATTGACCTCGTCTGGAGGTTCCTTACGGGGGGCACATGGGTGCTTAATGGTTAATTGGAACGGCAGCCTCGGCTGTCTTTCCGATGTGCCTTTGGAACAAAAGACGCAGTGCAAAGATGAGGTGTTGGTTGCCGCCAGTACTTTCTCTTTCCTCGGGTCCGGGGCCACTCAACGAGCCGCTTGGGGTGACGTGGACGACATGCCATCGTCGATCCATACGCTCCCGCGGAAAATGAACATCTCGTACGTTAGTATTTACGATGGAGGGGTCATGGGAGGAGGGGTCATGGGATTGAAGACCGACGAGAATCTTTGTCTGAGTTTCCGAACCCTTGATAACGATCGGTCGCTGTCCAACCTGGCTCGCTTGTTTCAAGTAACCAATCACATCATGACCCATCGATGAGTTGCAGATGCACGCCCGGTTTTCACTCACGTGGTCCGTCTGTGCGCCGCTCGATCTTAGGGGAAGATGAATTTGACGAGGGTAAGGGTCAGATCCCACTACCCTGGATTATTCATTTTTCACCCTAGATTACGAAGATCAACGGTCAGAAATGAACAATAGGAACTCGTGGGATCTGGCCCTAAGGGCTTCGTTCCACTGCATTAGAATCAATTGCACAATCTACCGTAGGCGTTGATGTGACCTATCTCAGGCTCCAGGCTGTTAGCATGGTTTTGCACGTACGGTGATGGAACGATGGCCTAAGTTTATAGTACCTTGGAGTTGCAGGTGGTAGGGGACGGCGAGAGGCATCGGGACAGCTCTCCCCATCTCCGCCCCGGTAATACCTTCTCAGCGACAGTGACTTGGAACTTACGTGTCTCTGTTAATCTCCTTCTGTCTACCCCTCTTGACCTCCTCTTTCGTCCTCCACGTCCTCTGTGAGGGGGGGGTGATGTTCCCCCCCCCCCGTCGTGTCGTTAGCCCGGTAGTCACGACGGTGTTCATGCGAAGCTGCTGTCATGTCATGTTGACTTCACGGAAAATATCTTTATGCGCTGCTGGAGGGAATCATGTTAACTGGAAGGGCGCTGCATTTCTCTATCTCTCTGCTCTTGCCTGTTGTTACCGCTGTACGGACGGATACCTCCCCTTAGAGATAATCTCGAGGGCCGGAAAACTTGATCCAAGGCTGGCGTATCATTGAAAGTCCGGCTGGTGATGATGATGACCGGGTGAAATGCCGATGGAAAACAGGAGACACGAGGAAGTAAGACTTCATGCAGCGGGGGTATGGAAAACAGGAAACACGAGGAAGCAGACTTCATGCAGCGGGGGTATGGAAAACAAGAAACACGAGGAAGTAGACTGCATGCAGCGTGGGGTGTCTGCCGCCTCTTAAGGCCGGAAAACTTGAGCCAAGGCTGGTGTATCATTGAAAGTCCGGCTGGTGATGATGATGACCGGGTGAAATGCCGATGGAAAACAGGAGACACGAGGAAGACAGACTTCATGCAGCGGGGTTATGGAAAACAGGAAACACGAGGAAGCAGACTTCATGCAGCGGGGGTATGGAAAACAAGAAACACGAGGAAGTAGACTGCATGCAGCGGGGGGTGTCTGCCCCCTCTTAAGGCCAGAAAACTTGAGCCAAGGCTGGTGTATCATTGAAAGTCCGGCTGGTGATGATGATGACGGGGTGAAATGCCGATGGAAAACAGGAGACACGAGGAAGACAGACTTCATGCAGCGCGGGTATGGAAAACAGGAACCATGAGGAAGTAGACTTCATGCAGGGGGGGTTGTGTGGCCCCTCTTAAGGCCGGAAAAGTTGATCCAAGGCTGGTGTATCGTTGAAAGTCCGGCTGGTGATGATGACCGGGTGAAATGCCGATGGAAAACAGGAGACACGAGGAAGTAAGACTTCATGCAGGGGGGGGGGTGTGCTGCCCCCTTCGGGGCGAGGGTGTACGGAAGCACAGCCGAGTTGCAGATTTCCTGCCATGTGTGCTTTGCTGAGTTGGATTGGAGCCAGCCGGTTCAAGTGAGGGCGGGTAGGAGCAGACAAAGAGGGAAGAAGAGGGAGCGCGCAAGTGGAGAGGAGGGTGCTGCACAGTCTGCTGCTACGTGTGTGATCAGCACTTCGATCAAGTTGAGGGAAAAGTCTGGGGCAAGAATTATGAACAAGGATAATTATGGTAAGTAAAAGTCTGGGGCAAGAATTATGAACAAGGATAATTATGGTAAGTAGTTCGTCCCTTTCTGTTTTTTTCTTTTTTCTTTTTTTTTGGGAAAGCTTGAAAATGTTTATTACTCAGAGGATCAACGGGGCCGGGAATTCCCCCACAGACAACCCGGTACGGAACAACAAAATTGATGCTGAGGCCCATTACTCAGCTTAGGCTACTGGAAACCGGGTCCAGTGTCCTTGAGCTCTACGATGCTCTCCAAAGAAAAGAAGGCCGGTTGCGACAAACAAAAAGCCTCAAGTCTGTAACTATCTACAGCCTGGGGCCTGGACCCACTAGCGAAGTATTCTACGATGTGTGACGCAATTTTATGGTTTTTTGGAAAATACAAAGTGATTTTTTATTTGCACGAATGGATCGTTTTCTGATTTAAAATGAACTGAAATAGGACATAAAACTATGAAGAACAGCTGTGCACCCGAATTCATGGCCTGGTACGATCTCCTTCACGTAAGTCTTCATAGTGATGTGCCGTGGCAATAAAATGTGTCCACGAACACAGTCATGAGGATGAACAAGTAACGGGTGTTGGGATACATTTATCATCATGTATCTCATGATGCCTCGAGCAGGCCATCCGACATGCGGAAGCGATCCTGTCAGATCCACCACAATATTCGAATTTCACATTTCAAGTTCTATTTCTCAGAGCCGAAAAAAAAAAACGAAGTCTGGAAATCAACCCCCCCCTTTTAAATCCATAAAATCCAGACTTCCCGCCGACGCAAAGCCACGAGCTATCATGTCCAACTTTGTTTTTGTTTTTTTATTTGACGCATCTCATTGGACGGGAGGTGGGCATCTTTACAGTCCCTGCTCGGAAACTACCCGGCCGTCGAGATCCAAGGTATTCGACGGCCGTACTGCGTCACTCGAGGCCACATGTGATCGAAATCCTGAACCGAGTGGTAGAATACTTCGCTAGTGGGTCCAGGCCCCTGCGGAGGTGGTTTTCCTTTACTACTTGAGTCAGAAATTGAGTTAGAAATTTGGCTTCAGCAGCCAGGAGCAGCAACTTATTTTGCCCTGTCCTCTGCGGTGAGTGATGCCAGTCTGCAGTTCCTTCCCCATGTATTTGTAGAACCAAATTATGGCCTTGCTGTGTTTCCTTTTGGTGGAGTGCCGTATCCTTCTGATCAGTTTTTTGCCACCTTCTTGCCGTTGTTCTCTCTCTACCCTCTCTCCACAGTCTCCTCTCTTCTCCTGGACCTAACTCTAGGAAAGTCAAAGGTCGACTGACGGTCATCCACTAACAACTCCTCACTAGTGCTTGCATCACTCATGAGCTACAATGTATGTGATCTAA